GTCCTTCTAAGAAGAGACACTAGAGATCTTTGCCTCGCTCTGCACATACTCACCGAGGAAAGGCCCTCTGAAGACACAGCAAGAAGGGAGCCTTCTACAAGCCGGGAAGAGAGGAGTCACCAGAAACCCTAACAGGACTTGGATTTTGGACTTCCAGCTGCCAGGATTATTTCCTTACGGCAGCCTGAGCAGACTAAGACATCTTCCTTCCTCCCTCACACCTGCCAAGTCTTCCCTAGACCTCCCCCTCCTCCAAGGCTCTGGACACAGCCTTTCATCATCCGACCCCTAGACCCTGTCTGAATTTTGTGAAGGCTTAGACTGGGATACCATACGTTAAAAAAAAATCTATTTGCGCCTTCTCACTGAAGGTCATTGATGCATAGAAATTTGAGACAGGAGCTTAGATCCATTGAGAATTTCCTGAAGGATTAAACCAGGGGGGAAAACTCTGGACTTTTGGCTAAATGTGGAAAGTTTCTTGCTGTGCTGTAGTCTGTCCTGCATAGGATTTTTATTAGAATTACACATTTTGTTATGTCATAGGGGGATGGGGGAACCTCAAACCTATTAGATACCAGAAGCAGCAATTTGACTCATGTGAGTTTTTCATTTAAATAAGGAAAGAAGAAAAAAACAGTCTATTTAGGCATTGTAAGAAGTGATTGAGCTGTATTTTTCTTTATTAAATATGTATTTTTATTTGCTGAACAATAACATTTGGGGCTACAAGAATGTTTAAATTCCATGGCGCTAATTAAAACTAGCACATGTGTTATCTAAGCGATTTGTCTAGATAACAAAAAAGGCAAGCTGCAATCTATTCCCTTTTTATGGAATAATCAGGTCTGGGCAGTTAAAATTTCTTTGTGTATAATAATTCCTTTCATCAAGATTCAGTTCCATACTTCACTGGAAATTCACATTTCATTATTGCTGTGCCCCATCAGACAACGAGCTGCCCTCAGGGCCCCGAAGAGTTGATTGACCAGAAGCCTCAGCTCACCTCCTCCTGTCTCAATAAACTGTGCCTGGAGGTCAAGTGCAGGAGGCTGTGTTGGATGGAGAATGGGGCAGAGAAGAGAATGATTTAAAATAGATTCATCAGGAAACTTTTTTTTTTTTGCTGCAGCAACAGAGTTTCTTTTTTCTTTTCTATGCCTCAGTTTTTCTATCTGCAGAAAGGACATAGTGACCTTTCCTTCCTGAGTACAAGATCTCATAAGGGACAAATAAAACAGGGGGTGTGAATAGACTTCACAAACTATAAGATGCTGAAAATGTGAAGGCAAAGGGAGGAAGGAGGAGGGAAGGAAAGAGAGAAAAAAGGAGGAGAAACGGGAGGAGGAGGGAACAGGAGTTTGACTTCCTGGGTCCGGTCCCGCTGTGGGCTCGTCCCTTTATGTCCACACACCTCCACCCCCTGCTCTGTTCAGCTGATTTATCCAGCTCGGGTCATGGGTGGGAAGCTGTATATGTGACAGAGCCACCTCACATCCCAGATGTGTAGAAAGAAGTCAGAGACTTTGGATGCACTCATCTGCCCTGGAGGCTGCGGCTAGGACCCCACTCTGGGCCTGAGATGAAGTTGCTTTGATTTTTCTTAGAAAAGGAAAATGCAGTTAGAACGCAAAGGGGGCCTCTCATGCTTCAGGCCCTGCTGTGAGGAGTGGAACAGTCACTAGGGGAGGGGTGGGATGCTGTTTGCTTTTGTGACTGCTTTTAAAAAGAGCATAAAAAGAGAAGAACACTTTGAAAAACCAGTCCTTTA